CATTTAGTTGGCCTATTAGTAATGTTTATATACTGCATCCTGTGCTAGTTTGGGTTAAAAGTTTGTCACTTTTGTCTACGCAGCTGAAAACTTTGAGGAGCATTCTAACAGGCTGCTAGCAAACTTTTCCTGTAATTAGCCACATGCTCATTAGAACGTTTACCACTGAATACAGTAGTACCTCGCTACTTCACGGTTCATTTTTTGTGGACTCGCTCTATCTGGGTTTTTTGAAATAAGATTATTTAAAATAAATTATTTTGAATTATTTATCACCTGCTGCACATTTGTGCAACCCATGCTGCAGGATAAGCTTAAGCTTCCTGCTGCAGCTGATCACCATGCAGAGCGGGGAAGTGGGCGTGGCCAAGAACGTTTGCAGGTGTCTGGCTGAAAGCAGAATATATACATAAACTACTTACTACTTATACTACTATTCCTACTTCGTAGTGTTTCACTTATCGCGGGCTTCAGGGTACAGATCCCCCGCAATAAACAAGGGACTACTGTACATTAACTTGTGATGAGTTAATCTTTTAGATAAAACACAAAACGTGGACTAATAAGCAGATGGACTAAAGTGTTACCAAATAAACTGGCATGAAAGTGAAAACAGCAGATTGGTTAAAAAAAAAAAAAAAAAAAAGTCTTAGTATTTATCAACTATACCTCCATGTTTTCCTTCCATGATATTTAACTATGTATCCATCCATTATCTTCCAATTGTCTGAAGTCATGTCGTGGGGGCAGCAGCCTGACCAGGGAGGTCCAGACATCTCTTTCCACAGCCGCCTCTTCCAGCTCTTCTGGGAGGACTCCAAGATGTTCCCAGGCCAGCTGAGAGAAATAGTCTTTCCATTGTGTTTGGATCTTCCCCGGGGTCTCCTCCCAGTCGGACATGCTCAAAGCACCTCCCTGGCAAGGTGCCCAGGACGCATCCTTATTGTTTAAGTGAGGATGAGGTTGATCTGAACCACCTCAACTGGCTCCTCTCGATGTGGAGGAGCAGCAGTTTTACTCCGAGTCTCTCCTGATAACTGAACTTCTCACCCTGTCTCTAAGGGCGATTCCAGCTGCTCTTTGGAGGAAACACGTTTCAACCACCTGTATCCATGATCTCATTCTTTCAGTCACTACCCAGAGTTCGTGACCATAGGTCCTCACCACAATGGACCGGCACAGAGTCCGAAATATGGCAGATGCTGCACCAATCCATCTGTCAATCTCATGCTCCATTCTTCCCTCACTCATGAACAAAACCCTGATACTTGAACTCTTCCACTTGAAACAGAACCTCACCCTCGACCTGTAGAGAGAAATCCCCCCTTTTCTGACTGAGGACCATGGCCTCAGATTTGGAGGTGTCGATTCTCATCCCAGCCGGTTCGCACTCGGCTGCGAACTGCTCCAAGTGAGAGCTGGCGATCACGGCACGATGACACCAACAGGACCACATCATCTGCAAAGAGCAGAGATGGAACCCTGAAACCACTGAACTGGACTCCCTCCGCCCCCAGGCTGCACCAAGAAATTCTGTTCATAAAAGTTATGAACAGAATCTGTGACAATGGGCAGCACTGGCCGAGTCCAACTGCCACCCTGAAGGGGTCCGACTTACTACCGGCAATACGAACCAAACTTTCACACCGCTTGTATGGGGACCGAAGCGCACACCCCAAGTCGTAACTATTTTTTGTCAAACTGGCATATGAACATTTTTTTTTTTAAACATAGCTGATCAGTTCCATTACGACAAGTTCTTTTTTGCAGGTTTGTGGTTCCCAAAACATTTCAATATCCATTAAATCATGACAGTGATGTTGTGGTTTGCATTTCTTTAAACCCACGTCCCAAATGTAAGTAAGCCTCGTCAGATACCTCTGGAAACTCCACTGGAATAAAAATCAGTTCGAGTGGGTCTGAACAGCGTTCGGCTGCACAGCGTGCAACGACTGACGCAACCGTATGCAGAACGCGTTTTGAAGAAAATTTAGGAAGTTGCCTCAGCCGTAATTAAGCATTCAGATGTTGATTGCTGCTGCCTACCTCTCAACTTTTCATGTTGGTAAAACTAAATGAAGGTTAAACACTTAGCCACCTGCTGACTCCCACCTGAGTGCTCAACTGCACAAAATCATCTCATTTCATGACACTTGCTGTCAAACGTGCGGTTTAATCAAAACACGGTGCTCCAGCAGAAATTCAAACAACTTGAAAAACCCTCTTTATGCATCTCAATGGGGGGGGGGGGGGGAGTATTACAACAAAACAGAAACCTCTGAGCCACCCAGTCATGCTGTCTTTTTGTCCACATTTGTTCCATTGTTTAAAACTTTAAAGGGTAACAGAAGCCACACAAAGGTAGTCTTCGTCCACTGAGGATCATTTTTTTGGCTTTGTTCTCTGTGCTGTGAGCAGAGCCGGCACAATAGATGACGACGATGCAACGTGAGAGGTTCAGCTCGTTGTAAAGGAGCTGCTTCGAGAGGCCACCGAGGTGTGGCACAGAACCAACTCAGACAACCAGATTGTGGGTTTTTATTCTACCAGAGGAAAAAATAGCGACTACAAGTAGCAGCACTGGGCCTAAAATATTTCTCTCTTTGACAGACGTGATAAAAAAAACGAGGATTCACTTAACTCCCCGTTACTGAAGTGCACTTTTTCAAACATTCAGACATCAATATTTACATTCCAAACATTGCGCTCAGTGCAAACATCACAAAAAAGGCACATTCTCCTCATGACAAGTGTTTTTTTTAATGCGTCAGTGAGTTTTGCATAAAGCCTAGCAGCTGACAGATCTAACTGATGGCTGTAAAAATCGCACATTTGCAGTTGCAAACCATCTTCAGACAGTTTGTTTTGGTTCTGTTTGCATTTTTGTCAGTCTTTCAGCAAAATATCTGGACAGATTTTAAAGAAGTTGAAAATGGCTACCATCTTAAACATGAAAATGGTCATAAATCATAAAATTTTCTAAATTTGGTGCTAAAACATCCCAAACACATACTCGAGAACTAACCGATGAGATTATTGTGTAAGAGGCAGGCAGTGGTTGATCTTATGGAAGCCCATTTCCATCATGAAAGAAAAAAATTAAAGCCCAAAAGGAAGTCATAATTTTGAGTTTTAAAGTCATAATTATAAGAATAAACGTCATAATTTTGAGTTTTCAAGTCATAATTTTGAGTTTTAAAGTCATAATTTCGAGTTTTAAAGTCATAATTTCGACTTTTCTAATTTAATTTTTAAGTTTGTCCCTTGCCGGACACCATGACTCGACAGGGATGCAACTTCCTGTCAAACACCGGTAGTTTTCCTGCATAGCACATCGATATCATCTCATATAAAAGTGTTTATATATCTGTGGCATAGCACATGGATTCATTCATTCAATGTATGTCCCTCTGCCTTCATACATCAATCTTTTTAAACTTTTAAAATCAGGTCTCTTTTGTAAATGAGTCCTCGAGGCTCAATGGTATTTACCCGTCTAAATAAAGGTTGAATGAATGAAAAAACAAAAAGGTATGTAATATATACAGCTTGTCATCGGCACTTTATATAGCATTTAATATTGAAGCCCATTTCCGCTATGAAATAAAAGGCCAACAGGAAGTCACTATTGAGTTTTAACGTCATAATTACGAGAATAAAAGTCATAATTTCGACTTTAAAAGTCAAAATTATGACTTATTCTTGTAATTATGACTAAAACTCATAATTATGACTTTAAAACTCATAATTATGACTTTAAAAGTCGAAATTATGGCTTTTATTCTCATAATTATGGCTTTTATTCTCATAATTATGACTTTTATTCTCATAATTATGGCTTTTATTCTCATAATTATGACTTTTATTCTCATAATTATTACTTTTATTCTCGTAATTATGACTTTTATTCTCGTAATTATGACTTTTATTCTCATAATTACGACTTTTATTCTCGTAATTATGACTTTTATTCTCGTAATTATGACTTGAAAAGTCAAAATTATGGCTTCCTGTTGGGCTTTAATTTTTTCTTCCATGGCGGAAATGGGCTTCCATACTGATCTACTCCTTCAACTAGCTAATAAAATGTTTGCCGTAATGTAAAGTACCATTTACATGCTGGACAAAGAAGGTTGCAACAAACAAACAAACAAAAAAAATTATTTGGCATTTAAGAAAGGGTTCCGATGAAGTGAGGTTCTGTAGAAACGTTTTAAACATTGTTTGTGAACGTTTCTCTGGATTGTCTCATGTTGTGGACAAATGGAGTTTATTTCAGATAAAACTGGCTAAAGGCTAGTTTGAGCAGAGCCAAAGCCAAAGATAATTGCTGCCGTTTTAAAACTACAATCTCAAAAACTTCTCAAGCATACCATATTTTATAAACTGACGTCAATTTCACATGTTCTAAAAGAAATTTTATTCCTGCAGGAATTGCCCCAGGCCGCGTCAGACGTGCTAATCACTACTAGCTGCTGCTTCCATTTGCAAATAAGCAGGTTTTTTTTTTTTTTTTACGTTACAGTGCAACAACAATATAACGGTTTATAAAATGGTGTTTGCATAAGCCACTATGAATGATCAGAACTGTTTTAAGACTGCAGCGATCCACAATGGTGTTGCTTAACTAAGATTAGCCGTTAGCGGGTCAACTTGATCAAGCTTAAACTTGTTTCTCCAATTCGAGGACAATCAAAAAAAAATTATCAAGGTCTCAAAATATTTAAAATCTAGTTAAATTGTTGAACTTCAGGAATCTATGACTGCAACAAGTGTTTCTTTGTTGAAACGCCACTGAAAGTTATTTGACGATTCAAGGGTGCTTTGTTTCAGTAGCAGTAGCGCACGTGAAGAGTGTTTTAGCTTAAATAGCATTATTAATTAATTAAAATCAATTATTGTTCGTTATCCTTCCCGAAAACTGCACTTCTTAAATGTGAACCATCAGTTTAAACGCCAGGAACGCACATCGATGGTCTCTGCAGGTGACGGATACTCACCCTCGTAACTTGGATGGACTCGTGGTGCATACGACCCAAACTTAATCAGGACAGGAACGTCGAGTCCTTGTCGTATCCATTCGACCACATGCGGGGAGGCAGAAGACACAACGGCTGGTTCTGATGGAGGAAACCGACAGTCCAGTTCCACCGAGCCTCCAACCTTTCCACCGACCTCTGACCTTTCACCTTTAACGATCCCTGTGAAGTTTATCCACAGATTAGCTTTAGTTAATCGTCTCATTGACTCTTCGAAACGTTCAGCAAATGTCTGCTCTGACTTTTGGTCTATAACTTTTAGGCTTTTCAAAATAATTCAATTTAAAATCCACACCTCCCCTCTTAGAAAATATTGTCCAGGTGCCCAAACCATCTGGTTCAGGCACCTGGCTACCCTAACCTACCATTTGACCTTACCGTTAGCCGCCCTAAACTACCATTCTTGTTCTGATACTTTTAATTTTTAGCCACAAACGTTCGTTTAATTACTTTTAGTTACTGTTCAGCTAATTATAGATTTTGGCTACTGTTCTGCTAACTTTTAGCTCGTTTACTACTTTTAAATACTGTTTTGCTGATTTTAGCTTTAGCATCTATGACATTTAGCTAAAATTTAGACAATATAAGCATCTATTTTGCTTAATTTTAGTTACGGATTTGATCATTTTAGCTTTTATTTACCATTTTACCTGAAAGTAGCTTTTAACTACAGTTCTGCAGAATGTTTTAGCTATGATTTTTTTTTTAATTTAGCAACAATTTTGCCAATTTTAGCCACAATTTTGCTAATATTTTAGCTTTAGAATCCATTTTTGCCATTTTAAACTATAGTTTTTCTCATTTAATCACTTCAGAAAATTTGAGCTACTTTTTTTGGTGATTTTTATCCTTCAGCTTCTGTTCTGCTTGTTCAAACTAACAATTTACTTAAAGAATCTTTCAACAAATTTCAGCAACGCTATTTCGTGCTTTGCATTGAAACAAAATATTCTGCGAAAATGTAATTTTTCTCGTTATATTTGCAACACTGTAAATATCTTAGCTGGAATTAGTCGCTTGTAAAATAGGTTTCATGTGAAACAATAGATACTTACAAAAGTGGGCAAAAACCACCAACGCAGCAAAAGTGTGCCAATATGATCTTGCTGCTCCCATCTCTGTCACTCATGCAACCTGCAGCATGTTCAGTCTGTTGGCAAAGAAGACACGATTGTCACATTCGCTTTACCTCCCTGTCTGCACACAAGCCAACAGCCATCTGCAACAGACGCAGCAGCTAAAAAGACTAACCGAGCTGTCACTTCTGTCATAATTTTACAGGAAGGGGAGAAAAGGAGCATTCACGTTTTTATACACTTTCCTAATAGCTGGAATTCGTCCCGTGCCATTACACAAATGGGCAGAGCCGCCCTCGCAGCCAGAACACGTGGCCTCCGTTTCTTTTTCTGGAAGAAAAATGTCATAAATGTCAAATAAATCCTGGGAGTCGCACTCAGGCCGGCGTCTAAGTGTTTTATTTAAAGGCGCATCAGAGAGGAGATACGGCCCCAACGGTCAAGGACGGAGCCCGGCTGAGAGGATGGGACTACTTTACGAAGACGGAGAAATGTTTATGTTAAAATGCACCAACAGATGAACCGTAGCAGGTCAGCTTGGAGTCGAGATCATTTAAGCGTTGTTGTTCGTTAGTTTTATATCCATCTATATCTATATATAGATATCTATCTATCTATATCTGAGTGCAGGGAGCAATTTTATCACCACCAGGCACAACGGCGGAGCCAGGGGGTGGCCAGTGGTGGCCAAATCATTTGAGTAAACTATACTTTTAAGCAATATAAAAACTAAAAAGAAGTTTCCTCAAATGATGGGGTGGCTATTTTACACATTTTACAAGATGGTGGTGGCCATGTTGGATTTTGATTTGGCAACCCAGTATTTGAAAAGGAACCTTACTTATGATGCAGCCACACACCAAAATGGAAGTTCAAGGATTCAAGGTTCTTTGTCATTCGCACCACATGCGGTACATGTGGTGGAACGAAATTGTGTACACAGGGTCCCAGTTACATCCAACAAAAGTATAAAATGTAAAAGAAAAACCGTAATAAGATCTAAGATATGTACCAAGAAAAACATTAATAAAAATACACTAAGCACTAGTAGTAAAAAAAACAATACGCCGAACAGCAGCACGAACATGAGTCTGTGTGAGCAGATGAGCACAAATGAACACAGGGATTATTTTGGTTAGAGATGCATGAGTCAAACAGCCTCAGGGTAGAAGCCGTTCCTCAGTCTAGTGGTTTTACACTTAATGCTCCTCAACCTCCTTCCTGAGGGGAGCGAGGCAAAAAGTGTGTGTGCTGGGTGAGTGTGGTCCTTCATGATGCAGGTGGCTCTCTTCCTGTATCTGGAGGTGTAAATGTCTGTGATGGTGGGGAGATCGACTCAAACATCTTCTGTGCAGCCTTCACCACTCTCTGCAAAGCTTTTCTTTCTGCAGCTGTGCAGCCTCCATGCCACACGTTGATGCTGGAGCACAGGATGCTCTCCACTGCACACCTGTAGAAGGAGATGAGGACTGAGCTTCCCAGTCCAGCTCGTCTCAGACGCCTGAAGAAGTAGAGTCTCTGATGAGCTTTCTTCATCAGGCTGGTGGTGTTGTTGCTCCAGCTGAGGTTGTCAATCAGGTGTACTTTTAGCTGGAGACCACTTCCACCGCAGACCCTCCTATGTTCGGGGGTAGGTGTGTTTGTTCCGTCTGAATTCCAAAACCATCCTTTTTGTCTTCACCACATTGATGTGAAGGTTACTCTCTTTGCACCAGCTCTCCAGGTGTTCCACCTCCTGTCTGTAGCTGGACTCATTGTTTGTGATGCATCCCACCACCACTGTATCATCTGCAAACTTTACAATGCGACAGCCTGGATATGTAGGTGCACAGTCATACGTGAGCAGAATAAACAGGAGAGGGCTCAACACACATCTCTGAGGGGCGCCAGTGTTGAGGGTTATGGTGGAGGATGGGAAGAAGTTGTGGATACTCAATGAATGTGGTCTGTTTGTTAAGAAGTCTAGTACCCAGTTGCAAATGGAGGGGCTTAGTCCTAGTGTGGATGGTTTGTCCATCAGGGTTTGGGGGATCATGGTGTTGAAGGCAGACGGGAAGTCCACAAAGAGCATACGGACGTAGGAGTCCTTCTGGTTGGTGAGAGCAGTGTGGACCACAGAGGAGATAGCGATGGTGGTGTTAGTGCCTCATTCAAATTTTATGTTCTTGCACAAATCCACTTCATTTCCAATTACCCCCTTTCTTTCCACGAGGGACAAGAATGAGCATAAAATTATTTGTATAATTAAAAAAATATATATATTTGTATAAATAAAAAAATTTCTTGTACCGACGTCACCCTTATCCCTATAAACGTATCCACCAACTGAATAGAGAGTCAAACTAATTAAAGCCTTCAATGCATTTTCAGAGTGCGAGAAACAAGAATTTAGAAGTCTTCATTGTTTTTGTTTCCTTCCACAGGGTTAACTAATCCACATCGGCTTTAATTATGGCAGTTCTGATGCAAGCAGCTGTGGAATTGTTTCAGAGTAAAACAATAGCGACCAATAAACTGAGTCAGCTGTAGACCAACCGCAGCTGTGTTCTACGAAAATTTAGGTTTTGAGGTTTTTCAAGAAAGTGCACTGGTAATGAATGTGGTGTCATAAAAACTGGATGTCTGACAGCTAGATAATGCAAACCCTGTTTGTGCTGCATACATTTCTTTTGTTGCAGCTGATCTCCATTCAGCAGCAAGTTGAGCAGAATGAATATGTGCCAAGCAGAAACAATACTTTTCTTTTTCAACAGAAACAATGCAATAAATCAACATTATTTTAAAAGTGACATGAGCTAAAGAACTAATATTCAACCACCGTCAGCCAACCTGATAGATTACATTTTTAGATCAAAAGGAGTAAAAATAATAACAAAAGGCATATTCTCATAGTTGCAAATAAATCTTAAACATTAGCATTTATTGCATGAATAATGAATTTTTAAGGTTTAAAGAGAAAAAATGAATTTTAATTAATATAATTCAAAAGGTTGAAGTCCTTGCCTTCTTTAATGATTCTATAATTAAGCAGGAAACACTCAGTTGCCCCGGCAGCCGTGCAAACCCTGTTTTCAGTCCCTTACTATCAGGCTTTTTATGGCCTTTTACATTTTACGGCCGGGGCTAAAGTCTGAACTGATAGAAAACAATTACACAGGCTGTCAACAGCTGCTGTGCTTGTCCACACGCTCGCCATGCTTCTGTGAACAGAACTGCATACAAGATTTTCTACAAAATATACGTGGAAGACAAAAAAAAATAAAAAATCAATCAGCGGCTGTTGATCATCGTCCACTGGAACGTAAAATTCATCGACCCTCACCTGTGCGCTTTACGCAAACTTTAATTTAGAAAAAAGTGGGACACGTTGTGGAAAAAGTAAATAAAAGCAGAATGCAATTGTAAATAAAATGTCAGATTTCTAAACAATAAAACAAACGTCATAAGACATTTTTCCATTTTTTGTCAAAATGAGGACATTTTCATTTTGACGGCAGAAACGCATCTAAAAGGTGGGACAGGTAAAAGAAAGCAGTAGGAATAATAAAAGTAAAAGAACATTTTGCAACAAATTGGGTCAATTAGTGAATAGTCCGAAAGAGGAATGTGTATAATAAAAGCATTTTAGAAAAGTTGACTCTCTTAGAAATAAAGACAAGCAGAGTCTGAGTCACCAGTCTGCAAAAAAACTGCATCTGAAAAATCTTCAACAAACTGAGAAGACGGAGTATCCAAGGATCTGGAGAAATCTGTGTTCGTAGGAGAAGACTGAGTGAACACTGGCCAGTAGCACTGCAGTAAAAACAGGTCCTGTTCTGGACATTGGCGTCAGAAGCATGGAGGGGAGACAACACACTGGGGGGGTGTCTAGGGAAATTTTTGAAGAAAGTAGATACCATTTCCTGCATTCTGATGTATTTTAATAGGATGTTAAACATCTAACACTGCATCAACAACTGCCAGCGCTATCGTAACGCTAAGCTAGCAGTGTGCAATACAGATGCGGTAAAATGCTACAGACCTGTCACTGCTAGGCCTGTCACAATAACAAATTTGCTGGGCGATTAATTGTCTCAGAAGTTATTGCAATAAATGATAATATTGTTTGAAATTTAACAATATTTAATTGTCAAATAAATAAATAAAATGGTTTGTTTGGGGTGTAGTACCTTTTTTGACCATCTGATGGCAGTATAAGACAGTTTGAACCAAAGAATGGAGCAGCGTGTCTCTAAGAAAAATGGGAGAGAGGCCCTTGACATGACATGGGCTGACGTGGTGACATGGCGGACGCTCTGTGATTTGAGCTCTTTAGCATAGCATTTTTCACACAAAGGTTTAAAAAAAAAAATCAGTCAACAATTTCTCATCTTTTTGCAGAGAGAAACAACTTTTCACACGAAGGCACGGGTTTCAACCGTGAATTTTGGAGCTTCGACAAGACGGAGGTTTATTCCCGAGGTCGGCCTGTTAGCTTAGCATGTAGCTTAGCTGCTTTTAACGATCCGAAAAAGTGATTTTGGATGGAAAACAGATTTTAAAGAAAAAAGAGAAAGTGAGGGGTCAGTGAAGAGCAGCGGAGTTGAGCCTTTTATCATCCAGTGTCTTCAGTACAAAGAGAGAGACACGAAGAAACGATAAAGCCGGTAAATGAAAATGAGGTCGATGATTTTCATTTATCATGCGATTAATTGATTTATTGTTTATCGCAACAGGCTTCGTCAGTACACGATCTGTTCCGGAAGCACGATGCGCAACGTCAGCTCATTTGTGCATGCACCAAAAGAAATACGTCTGTGAGGGCTTTAGACATTGCAGATGGTCTTTCAACTTTTATCACCTGCAGTTTTTCCTGGAAAAGAAAACTTTAGCAGGAGATGTGGATAGCAAAGTATGCCAGGAGGATAGGTTTCTACAATAAATATCATAAAAGATTACTATTATTAAAATAAAGGTATTCTGTTATCAGTAATGGGTCCACCAGACGGCGCATTGGCAGCATAAATGCGTTAAAATCCAATTAATCAACCAAGACACATTTTTCTACTGATTTATAAAATTTTGGAAGTAAATG